TAAAATAATCAAAGTGTTTTAGTTGTTTATATAAATCTGTTTCACTTTGGTTGAAATCTAGTTAGTGTACGCAAAGTTATAATCGTATGATGTGTTTGTTTTGTTTAGTTGTTGCTGTTGAATGAATTTTCTATAATTTACACTGATGTCAAAATAAATTAAATAGGTTTTGATAAAATTAACTTGAATGAATTTGGGTCTGAACATTTCAGGACTGGAGCATCAACATGACTTTGCAGGTATACATGATTTTAGCACCAGCCACACGAGTCTCCTACACAACCACACATGATAAAACGTGGTCTAAATGTACATCCCAGGCCTCTGTGGTAATTTGTGAATGTGGTTTCTTCACTGTGTGAAGTAATAAAGAGTAGAGGAGACATGAATGACCTGCATCACAAACACATTTGTAACTGCGACACTCTCTGCATCCTCATGTGACTGCAAGCCTGTGGATGATCATGCATCAGCTGAAAGCATTAGATTAGAGAGATTAGATCAAACTTTATTAATCCCGCGGGTGGGTTCCTCCGGGAAATTCAGTCTCCAATAGCACAGCACCGACAGAAGTTACAGAATGTGAGCAGAAATATACACACATATGTAAATACAGAGCATACAAAGGGATAAATAGAACAAATAAGAGAGGTGACATGCCACGTCCCAATTGCCAGTCTTGGTAGCCGGGGATCAGTCCGCCGAGGCCTCCGCTCCTGGCCGCCGCCCGGCACACAATGCACCCGACCCCTACGGCGCCTCCTGCGGGTGGTGGGCCCATGTCCCCTTTTCGGGCTGTGCCCATGGACTAAGGCCGGCCACCAGACGCTCGCCCTCGGGCGTCTCCCCTCCAGAGAGGAGTTAAACAGTCTGATGGCGTGTGGGACAAAGGAGTTTTTAAGTCTGTTAGTTCTTGTCTTGGGGAGAAGCAACCTGTCACTGAACAGACTCTTCTGGTTGTTAATGGCCGTGTGCAGAGGATGCCCAGCATTGTTCATAATGTCCAGCAGTTTCTTTAATGTCCTTTTCTCTGCCACTGTCACCAGAGTGTCCAGCTTCATGCCGACCACAGAGCTAGCCCTCCTGATCAGTTTCTCCAGCCTGGATGAGTCCTTCTTTGCTGTGCTGCTCCCCCAGCACACCACAGCATAGAAAAGTACTCCAGCAACCACCGACTGGTAAAACATCCTCAGGAGCTTCCTGCAGATGTTAAAAGACCTCAGCCTCCTGAGGAAGTAAGTCGGCTTTGGGCTTTTTTATACAGGTGGCTCTTGTTGCTGGACCAGTCCCGAAGTCCACAACCAGTTCCTTAGTCTTTGAGGTGTTGAGTTGCAGGTGGTTTGTGTGACTCCATGCGACAAAGTTCCTCACCAGACTTCTGTACTCCTCTTCCTGATCATCCCAGATACACCCCATGATGGCCGTGTCATCTGCAAACTTCTGAATGTGGCATAATTCAGAGTTGTAGCAGAAGTCAGAGGTGTACAGGGTGAAGAGAAGAGGGGACAGCACAGTTCCCTGTGGTGCTCCTGTGCTGCTGACCACAGTGTCAGACGTGATGTCCTTCAGCCTGACGTACTGTGGTCTGTCGGTGAGGTAGTCGGAGATCCAAGCCACCAGGCAGGGGTCCACCTCCATCCTGTTCAGTTTTTCCTGAAGCATACAGGGCCGGATGGTATTAAAGGCACTGGAAAAGTCAAGAAACAGGATCCTGACCGTGCCTTTTCCCCCATCCAGGTGTGAGTGGGCTCTGTGTAGGAGGTACAGGATGGCATCCTCCACTCCGACACCCGCCTTGTATGCAAACTGTAGTGTCCGGCATGTGTACCGGGTCGGGGAGCGAGGTGAGGAGAGAGTGGGGAGAGGACTCTGTAGTGAAAGGTGAGGGTGAGGGTGGGGGGGTTGTGGGCTGGTCAAACCTGTTGAAGAAGTTGTTGAGTTCGTTTGCCTTCTCCACAGTCCCCCCCCACTGTGCTTTTCTTGGTGTTGTGGCCTGTGATGGTTTTCACACCATTCCAGACCTCCCTCATATTGTTCCTCTCCAACTTCTGTTCCACCTTCCTCCTGTAGGTGTCCTTTGCTTCCCTCAGGCAGCGTTTCACCTCCCGCTGTGCTGCTTTCATCTCCTCCTTCACTTTGCTCCTGAAAGCCTTCTTCTTCATGTTGAGGACAGCTTTGACTTCCTGTGTTACCCACGGTTTGTTATTAGGATAACACCGTACCGTCTTAGCAGGGGCGACCGCGTCCACACAAAAGTTGAGGTAGTCCATCAGACGGTGTGTCGCCCCCTCTATGCCCTCACCCTGTGGGCTCAGGAGCACATCCCAGTCTGTGGGGTCATAGCAGTCTCTCAGTACTAGCTGGATGATTATTCGTGGTGATGTTGCAGTACGTAGTTTCAGGAAGGTGCAGTTCTGAGAGCCCTGCTGCAGTTACCAGTCCTTTGTGATTGCACTTTCTTTTGTTCCTGTGAAAGTTATCTGATATCTTTGCCATCAGCCTGTCAGTTCTGCCTGCCTGTATTCTCACTACCAGCCGTTGCTGCCATTTATTGTCCACAATGAGTTTAAAGTCTGTGTCATAAAAGCACTTTTTATGTGTCGAGCTGTGGATGATCATTTGCTGGAGAATTACTGCAAGAACATTTATTTTTATGAATAACCTTGTTGTTTACCTGAGTGAAATCAAAGGGCTCAACAAAGCAGGGTTGAAAGCAGCAATTAAAAGTGTGAGCTACAACAGCGGAGCAGCCTCACTCTTGAGCTCAGATTCAATCCTCCACGGCTGTGTGAACATTTTGGGTTTATTGTGAGCTAAAACTTTTTTATGTTTGCACATCAAAACAACACGCTGTCTTGTTCTTAGGAGAGATTTTAAAATTCAAAACGAGCTTGATTAGAATCTCGATGCATGCTCGATCGTGCAGGTAAGGAAATCCCCAGAAACTCTACAGTCTACAGTAGACTTGAAGGTTCGATTACATGAGCAAAAATGACCCCAGCCCTGATGCCAGCAACTCTGCGTTATGCACAGGACACTGTGACTGGTTTTTCTGGGATCACTTTAACCAGTTTGGATTCATGACAATGCATTTAATTAATCCAGGACAAACTGAAAGCACAAAGGTGTCTGTATGTCTGCGTCTCCTAATACTCAAATCTAAACCAAAGATGGAGGGCTCACTGTTCCTTCTGAAATGAAAGTGTCCTGTAAGTATTAGGTATTTTATTCTACTCACTTTAAAGTGTTTCATTAAAACTGAGAAACTGGGACTTTTCCCGACTCTGGACTCTTTCGATGCACATTTTGACAAAATGTGACGAAAGAGAGCCGAGTTTCCTGTTGTTTTAGTTTCATGTTTGTAATTTCAGCTCTCTGGTTAACTTACAGCACCAGCAGTACTTGATTAGGTTTAGCAGTAAGTCCCACAACAAACCTGTGGCTTTGCAGTGTCAGAGCAGACACTGTTGCCCAAACACTGCAGGACTCAAAGTCTACTGGACAGAAACATACCGAGGAGATACCTGCTCACTAAAATGTGACAATAAGTGTCACGGCTCTGGGTCAGTGTTTTGAGTTCTCGTGTTTGGTTTAATGTTGATTGTATTCTTATTCGGATGCATTGTTGACCATTATTACAGGTTTCTGCTTATTCACGTTTAAGGATTTGTTCCTTGGTTGTGTCTCATGTTTTTATAGTTCGAGTTTCATGTGTTATATTCTGTCTGCGTCCTTGTTTAGTGGTTTCTTGTTTCCTGTTTTATTGTGAAGGTCTGTGTCTCATGTGATTCAGCTCTGCTGCTCCCCTGTCTCGTTAGTCCAGTTTCTCCCAGCTGTGTCTCCCTCCTGTTGCTCACTCCCTGGTTACCACCCTGTGTATATTGGCCCTGTGTTTTCCTCAGATCCTGCCTGTGTGCTCCTGTTTCTGTTTCGTGGCAGCAATAAAAGCTGTGGTTTTCAGTCACATTTCGTCTCAGAGTCCTGCATTTGGATCCACATCTCCACCTGCCCGCACACACAGCCCTGTAAGACTTTATTCGTACCATGACATGTTCCAAACATTGGACTGGTGTCAGCACATATCTAACTTTTCAGGTTTTCTGTTTTTCACGCACCTTAGAAGATTAGGTGCTAGGACTCTGATCTTACAAGCACACACCAGATTGTTATGTCGACATCTTCAGGCTTATTTGTTTAATTTTGATTGAACCCTTTCCAGAGAAAATGAAACTGAGATAAAGAACGCTCAGTTCAGCTTTTGGCTTGTCAGATACAGACCTCGCGTCGACTACAGTATCCAAACTCTTTGCTTTTACTGCTCCAGGTACATCATCTTGTCCTACTGGAGATGTCTCGGGTGGCAGTAAAATTAACTATTCATGTAGCACTTTTTTACACAATGTTTAACAGTTTGGATTTTAAAAAGTGCATATTTATATGTGCAGATGCAAACCTTCATCCATTACTACACACTCCTGCACACATACAAGGCCAATGGGCAAAAGATTCAAGAGAAGCTGAACCATGGAAATGAGTTTTGAAGCTGCAGAAAGCTGCTCCAAAGTTTAGACACGACAGCCTCTGGAGCGTGATCACCTCTGGTTTAAAACAAGACAGTGGCTCAGTGCAGAGACCCTGATCAGATCATCAGAGAGGCCAGCTGCAGTCAGAAGGGCTCATTAGCTGTACACAGAGCAGCATGTCAGGCCTCATCAATACGACTTTTAAATGAAGGAAATAAAATGATAGTATTTCAATCAGTACTGAGGCCTTTTCTCTGCATGAACACCGTCTCCATCTTTTATCAGCAGCACTAAATCAAGCACACAGTGTTTTATTCACTGGTGTTTGTTTATTGTGGGACAATACTATGAGTCTGCAACAAAGACCGGACTGACACAACATTTACACCTTATTTGTCGCTGCTGTTGTCTTATGAGTGATAAGCAACAGATAAGGAGCTCATAAAGCAGCAGGCAGGGCATTTATGACTTTTTCCACCACGTTCTTCTTTCACAAGTTACAAATCTAGTTTATCATCATTAGAAACAGCTTGTCTTTCAGCACAATTATGATATAAATGACTGGACATTCAACGACATTTGAAACAAGCAGAACACATCACTGCTTAGCGCAGTTTGAGAAATACCGTGGACGCATGTGTGAGGAAATCAAACCTTCTTGACTTGACGATTAAAACAAACCACAACGCCGATTCCACAGACGTTCACATGCTGTGTGAAATGGAAATGAAAAATAAACCCGTTTTATTTACAATGGAAGACATGTCGAATGTTTATGTCCCATTTTAACAAGATCACAGGGTCATTTGGAATTTGCTGGAAGGAAAACATCTTTAAAGGTTGTTACAAGGCCACGTTTACCAGTGCGTAGCGTTCGTTTAACAGCAGTCAGGAAACATCTGTGAACTGATTTGATGAGTCTGATTCAGATCAGCACACAGGCCCTTCTGCTATGAGGCCCAGTTCACATTGTCCTGCTGAAATGCACCAATCAGGAGCATGAAGTGCGATGGTTTCTTTCTACGTGGTGGGACGAATATTCAGCGTCTTTAATGAGTGAAAAACAAGAAACAGAAAGGTTTTGTGGTGTTTTTTACTCATGTACATCAGCTGTGTCGTACTTTCTAAAATATCGCCTTAAAACTCTTTGCACCCGTTATGTGAATTTATAATGTTCACAGCCGATGTGGTCATTGGTTGTGAACTTAAACAACCAACGGCGACTCTTCAGTTTTGTCTCCTGACAGAAATAAGGCCCAAAGAGTGGAAAGTGATTGTAATTCAGAGGGTTTTGACCACTGCACTGTGGCTGATCATTCAGCATGATGTGGCATAACAAAGACTGGACTGAGCCATGTTGGTCATGCACACATCCATGAAGAAAAACGGTTTCATTGTAATTTCTAACCCAGTTTATAATGACTCTCCATCCCTGCTGACTTAAAGCTGCACACATGTGAACATGTTTAACTTTAATGCCACAGTGTGGGCGTGGTTTAACTTTTTAGATACTGACAAACCTGCTTCCTGCAGCACACACACCAGGTGCACAACGGCACAAACAACCTTTAAAGCCGTGTCCCCTTCTAACATGCTACTTGAGTTTTATCCTGTTTGTGCTGTCCACATCCTCGAGCTACTAAAAGTTGCAGGTTATCAGTGAGAACAAAGGTCAAGGGTACGTCAGACATCCAGCATTTGTAATCCTACTTGAAAGAATGACATCATCGTCACTGCTGTTAATAATTACAGTTGTGATAAGTGGGAGAGATGGTATTTATTGGTGGCACGAGCGTCTGAGACCCCAGTTGATTTCCAGGATCTGGAGCAGGAGGAAGAGACGGCGGAAGCTTCGACACAGACTGGGACGCTCTCAGGTATGTAGGACGAGCTGCTCTGCATATACGTACGTGTTGGAAAGTAAAGAGGGAGCTGTGGGGAAGTGAGGACTGCTAACACTCAAACCAAACTTCTCTGGTGTTTCTTCAATCTCACCCTCTGGGACGACGCACGCTCTGACCTGCCTTATGTGCTCTGTCTTGTATTTGGGGGTCTGGACCTTTGCTGTTTTCTGTTAATGTGCTTTGATAAGTGATGTTCAAAGGAAGGACGGGATCCTTTTGCTAACCTGATGTGATTAATGGACCTCAGAGCCACACAGAGAGGAAGCAGCAAAGGCGAGACGATGCGCCCGGCAGCTCAGCAGTACGTGGTGACCAGGCCGCTGTACTCGGAGGAGTCCTTCGCTCAGGACCATGAAAAGATCTACAGGCACCGCAAAACTATGCTGGACCACATCAAGCAATATTTCACGTAAGCCACATGTTTGCTGTGTTTTCTGTTTGGTTCCAAACGACGACTCTGCAAAGGTTTGATGAACTGTGGAGATTCAGCAGCAGCTGCTCTCATTTCCATCAACAAAGGTTCAAGCTTGTTTGGCTCAGTTTGCACAGGTTACGTTTATAGTGATTAAGGTCTGACGAGACACTTTACCTGATACAACAACATTATGTGTTATGTAAGACAAGTATTAAGTTTAATTTTGAGATTCAATTCAAATGTATTTGTATAGCACAGCAACAACAGTCGCTTCATCTCTATTAGATTAAAGTCAACATTTTGAGATTAAACATGAAATAGTATTTTGAGGGAAACGGTGGGAATGTGGAGACTCGCAGCTCCTCTAACATCTACAAAATGTCTTGTGAAAGAACTTGATCAGCTGTCTTATCGTGTCTTGTGTTACAACATGCATCTTCTTTATTGCACGAGGGTGGAACCACCGCTATCATCGGTCCACTGTCACCTGTTTCGTTTTCTTCCAAGTTTGGGTGTTTTTCCCTTCCGAGCTTTTTCCTGCGCCATCACCACACAGTGTTCATGTGCTAACAGAGACGTGCGATTTCACTCTCTCATCCATGAAACAACCACATTTCACCATTTTATCTCAAAATAGATTTTCATCTTTAAACTCGAAATGATCACTAATCTTTTTTCTTAATGTGGCCCTAATCCTGCTGTTTGCTGTGTTTGTCTATCTTTATATTAATGGTGCTTTAATGCTTTGATACTCAGCGTGACGTTAGACCTCACAGGTACACAATATCAATTTTACTGTAGTTTCAAGTCGGAACATTTTTGAAAAATCCAGATTCTTATTATTTTGACCCTACACGCACACGCACAGGCAGCGTTAGTCCAGTTTCATCACCGACACCGGATTGGCCAATCGAGCCTCTTACCGCAGCCGGGCCCTCCCCTCTGTGCGCACACACGAGAGGCGAGAAAGTTGAGCAGAAAAGCAAAGAGAGAAAAACTGAGTAAGTAAAAGTAGATGCAGCAGAATGTGTGAGATTACCGGACATGTCAGCTGTCGGTGCTGCTGCACCAGCAACACGCAGCCCTCGCAGCCTCTGGTTGACAGCACGACTTTTAAACAGAGTTACATCCTACATGACGCATCCATGACAGTCTCTCTCTCCCTTTATATAGAAATACATTATGTGTTTATTGGGTGATCACGTCGGGCCAGTCGGACCAAATATGTCACGGTCGATGTTTTTGTCCCAGTCCAGCCGCGACGCAGATCAGCACTCGTCTGACATTAAGGTTGTCACTGAAGTCTGAAACGTTAAAAATGAGATGTAGCGGGTGTTTTGGTGAAACGCTGGCAGGCCTGTGCTTTCTACAGGATAATGTGGGTGGATTTATCTTAAGACAGCGCAGATCTAAATAAAAAGAATCACTTATTAGTATTTCTGTGATATTAACTAATTCAAAAGTCGTAATTGGGCAGGGTGGAGCTCATTGAAGACGTTTCTCCTGCTGTGCAGAATATATTTTTCATATCTTTAAAAAGAACAAACAAACGCAGGACTTAAACTGATCGATGTTTGTACACTTTAATCAGTTTAAATAACCTTGTGAAGCATAAATGTAAAAAGTGGTTACTCTGGTTTTGGTTCATTATCGTTTCAGATGTGACGCGAAACGAGCCAAGAGCACGGCTCTGTCTCTTCTCCCAGTCATCGGCTGGATGAAAGCGTACCGATTGAAAGAATGGCTGCTGGGTGACATCGTGTCCGGTGTCAGCACTGGACTGGTGGCTGTGCTGCAAGGTGAGTATCACAGAAAGTTACAGCCTCTGAACTCTGTGAAGTAATGATAACAATAATGACTGTGCAGCTTGGGCCCTATCTGACTAACTGATAACCTGTGATAACAGACAGCTGTGAGAACCTCTGCGCTCTTATCTGAGCTGTTTAAACGATAGTGAGTGTGCTTAACAGCCGCTTGGAAATGAGGAAATAACCATTTGATCGCTTGATGATTTTGCTCATTTTAATGGAGACACAATATCATCTAAAACATTCAGAAAAAGGAAAACATTAAATTTATACATCAATTTGCGTGTTGGTGCAGCCCTTTGAAACCTTTAGCAGCTTTCTTTTAATTGGCTGCTCCTCAGCAGCAGGTGAGTGGAGGTGACATCGTAACAGTATAGATGTAAAAAGAAATTAGGAGGATGGGTTCTTTAGCCTTTGTGTACTTTACTTACTTATTGAGAGCCCAGAGATTTACTCAACTGGTGTTTCTGTCTTGCAGGGCTGGCCTACTGTTTGTTGGCCTCTCTGCCACCCTGGTATGGGCTCTTCTCCGCCTTCTTCCCTGTTATCATCTACTTTTTCCTCGGCACCTCCAGACACATCTCAGTGGGTAAGGCCATCGTCCATTTCTATGTAGCTGCTCTCTAAATGTTAGAGTGTAAGTATATCTGCCATCCTCCTGTCTCCCCGAAGGTCCGTTTCCAGTGCTCTGTCTGATGATTGGCTCGGCGGTCACCAGGCTGGTCCCAGACGAGGGGCCGGCGTTCAACATCACGGGGTTTGAAGGCCTGACCAGAGACGAGCAGAGAGTGCTGGTGGCCTCTTCTGTCACCTTCCTTGCCGGCGTCATGCAGGTGAATCGGCTCGCCACAGCCAATAAGTTGCTCTAGTCGACACTGAGTCACCTTGTCAACAAGCATGCTTTCTGAGGATCAAACACAAAGCTGTAGGATCTCAAACATACGTTTGTGATGTGGAAACAACAAAAAGCTTTGTGTCCTTGACAGAAAACAGATGTTGTGTTTCGTCCTTTTTAATAAGGCCCCTTGAGAGCCGTTCATCACAACTTCATTTGTGAGCTCTGGCTTTCAAAGGAGCACACTTCGCTCCATCTTTCCATCAAAAAATACTATTGAGCAGCAAATGTAGCATAATAGTGTTAGCATGAAAACACTGACGGACTGAAAAGTAGGTTGACATTTTAAAAGTCATGAGAATATTGACTGTACTCTCACATTTATCCGTTTAAGGCGAAGGTTAGCTGGACGCACCAAGAAGGCTGTGCTCTTTTTTTGGAATAATTCAATTCAATTCAATTTTATTTATATAGCACCAAATCACAACATAAGTCGCCTCAAGGCGCTTCATAGATACAGAGAAAAAAACAATAGGTGAAACAAACCTGAAAGCCAGTCAGTGAGCATGAGAGGCGCTCATAGATGGACTTACTACGTTTGGGTTTGTTAGCTTTGGACTGAGGTGGGATAAGATGAGCTCCATACAAGAGCAGTTATTACCTGCAGCGAGAGTCACAGAGCAATGAGGATATGTGATGATGTCATATTTGACCTAGAATCTCACTCTTACATTTCACGTCCGCCTTTCTTTCAAGTCTTTAGAGAAAGTGATGGCAGGAACAATAAGTAGCCCAGTTACAGTAGTTAGAAAGTAGTTATGTAATGAACTCAAGTTATTCATGTTACTCCTGCGTAACAATTGTGTAATCAAAGACAGGATCTGTCATGCTACACAAAATCTGATTTTTCACTGCACTACAAACTGCAGTTATGAATGAAAAATACAGCATTATTCTCTTGAAAGCAAACTGCCCAGAGAGTGAGCAGGCGGAGGCTCGCACTCCCTCGCTGTTTCCTGCTGTGTGCTCTGACAGCTGTGCTTTAGGGAAAGTTATATGTAAAGTATGATGCTTAGTAGATCACTTCATCAATTATGTGATTTACAGAAAACTGGCAGTTGCTTTTATAACTGTTGAGAGGACTGCAGTTGACAATGTAAACATTCATTGGTCCCACGTGGACTCTTATCGGTACTTTAAGGGTATTTTTGTAATACTAATCACAGAGAGAGGTACTTTTACTGTGTTTAGCTGTTTATGTTACGGATGTGAACACCAGATCATGACATATATGCTGCTGTCTGCTAATCAAAGCAGCACATTCAGATGAACAGCTGTTGTTAACCTTGATGTAGTCGTACACAGAGGGACGTCACAGGGTTTTCATTCCTAAAAGAAATTCAAAAAACCTTTTTTCTTTTTCTGGTAACTCACAGTTTAATAATACACTATTTTGTTTATCATGTTGGGTTTTTCAGCCTCAATGACTGAATCTGTTTGTGACTCCTGTCTCTGGCAGCTTGCGATGGGCGTTCTGCAGGTGGGCTTCGTTGTCATGTACCTTTCCGACACACTTGTGTCAGGTTTCACCACAGCTGCTGCGATCCACATTCTGGTGTCGCAGCTCAAGTTTGTGTTGGGGCTGGAAGTTCCAGGGATCAGCGGGCCGCTGTCACTCATATATGTAAGTACAGGCCAGCTTGAAGCTTGCTCTGTTCATCCAACAGGTTGTTCATCTGCTGGTTTCATTCTTCAGACCTTGGAGATCATCTTTAACAAGATCACCTCCACCAATGTGTGTGATGTGGTGATCTCCATCGTGATCATGGTGGTGGTGTTCATCGTAAAGGAGATAAATGAGCGATTTAAATCCAAGCTGCCTGTGCCGATCCCCATAGAGGTCGTCATGGTGAGCAACACTGCACGACTCCTGACATTTTTGCATCTCTTTGAAGGCTTGTTGGTTCACAAACAACAACACTGATATTTATTACGCTGGTTTTGGCTCTTCACTGTAACGACTGCACTCAGCAGGTGAATAACACTCATTAAAGTGAGTAATGTTCATTTATGGGCCGGAAAAAGATTTCAGCGAGAGATACCGGTCACAGGTTCACACCTGCAGTTAATAAATGCTCTCTGACTTTTGTATTTAAAAGAGTAAATAGCTGTGAATAATCATTTGTCATTTCTTTCACAGACTGTTATTGCATGTGGAGTTTCATATGCATTCGACTTTAAGACAAGATATGGCATTGATGTTGTTGGTTATATACCAAAAGGGTAAGAATACATCAAGCTCACAGTGAAACCTGTCGATTGTTTTATCTTTGCTGGAGAAGAGTCAGAACATCAGCAGCAGGAGTTATCAATGCCAAACTTCCCCTGTAATATTATACTGTGGTTTTAATATCCTGACACTGTGCATAACTCACAAGTACATAAGACGTTTATAAGGTGATAATAGCTAAAAGCTAACAGTTTGTTTTGGAGCCTGTGTGAAATCAGAAAGGCAGTCAAAGAGAGGTCAAACCACTTCCACAACATCATAGTTCTAAAATGCAACATGCAAACTTTACACGTGTTATGTCTCGTTCTGCTTTGGCCAAAATTAAATATGTTTTTGATTTGAGGACCCAAACGCAGACTCGTGGAGGCGAGACAGAAACTCAACAGGCAGCTTTATTGCTGAACATCAGAAAATACAAAAATAACTAAACTTGTAATGGAACTAAACAGGCTTAAATACACAGCACAACGTCCAGAGAAGAGAAAACACACAGTGAACGCAGCCGAGACAAGTCAGACATGAACACGAGAGAGAGACACAGAGGACAAAGACACAAGGGGAACCGAACAGTCCGAGAACTAAACAAGAACACTCAGAATAACTACGACCATGAATGACCCTGAACATCAGCCATAATACAAAATATTACCAGAATACAAGAAGGTCAAAATGCTGGGTCACAGTGACCCAGAACCATCAGCCTGTATTTTGAAACAGTAACATAATGTTACGCTTTAGCTAAGGGTCCAACATGTTAAGGTAACGTCTGAGTTCTGGCTCTGAATTGTTCCTCTATCACTTGTGGCTGATCCACCTGAGCGTGTCCATGTTTAGAGGCACAATGATCTGACAGACTTGTACCGTTTCAGGTACGAGGCGCCAGTCGCCCCAAACCCGCAGATCTTCCAAGAAACAGCAGTGGAAGCGTTTCCTATAGCCATCGTGGGTTTTGCTGTGGCCTTCTCTGTGGCCAAGGTTTATTCTATAAAACATGATTACACCGTAGATGGAAACCAGGTGGGTAACAACTCAGCCACATGTAGGTTAAAGTCGCGTCAGGACGTCAGTGTGATTTCTTATCTCTGTGACCCGGCTACAGGAGCTGATAGCCTTTGGAGTCAGCAACATCTTTGGAGCTTCCTTCAGGTCTTTTGCAGCGAGTACAGCTCTTTCTAGGAGTGCAGTTCAGGAGAGCACAGGAGGGAAAACTCAGGTAACCTAAGCTGATCCCGGATCTGTCCATGTCAGGCAGGGTTTTCTGTATTATTGTAGGGTCGACCTCACAGTATAAAGCACCGTGAGGTGACTGTTGTGATTTGGTGCTGTATAAATAAAGCTGTATTGAATAATATTGAAACTGAAGTCCAGTTTCGTGACACAAACGTTTGAAGTATCTTTACAATGAAAATCTTTATAATGAAATCTTTGCTTTTTCACTACAATTCATTTGTTGAATCCCTGGAAAACATTTAAATATGACCAACTGCATGAGATCAGGTCACAGAATCTGTCATTCTCTTCTGTTTATACACGTTCATAGAGACTCTGTGATTAACTGCAAATGAATTGACAGCAGTTCCTGTGACACTGCGGCTCGTCGCTCTGACATACAGTCGCACAAATGCATTAAATTCACAGCGAGTGACCAATAGAAAGGCCAGCCAACAGTGACCTCTAGTGTTTAGAGGAGAAAGTGTATCAATCAACTGATCTGATAAAGTCCTTTTTAAATCAGCACAAACAGAATCTGATTTCCATCATGTTGGTTTTTCAATCCTCTGCCTCTTCTGTTGTTTCCAGGTAGCTGGTTTACTGTCAGCTGTCATAGTGATGATCGTCACATTGGCTATTGGATTCCTACTGGAGCCCCTACCAAAGGTATGTACCCCTCCCTGTGCCTCTGACATGCTGTCTATACGCTGAAAGCTGATCTCTGGCCCTCTGCTTTAACAGTCCGTGCTGGGCGCCGTGATCATCGTCAACCTGAAGGGCAGTCTGATGCAGTTCAGAGAGATCCCATATCTGTGGAGGAGGGACAAAGCCGACTGTGTAAGACCTCACAAACTTTCAGTACTCTTAAAGACCATGTTTATATGTTGTAAGAAAGGACACGTGGCCTCCTTGTTAGTAAACAACATGTTTCTTACCACAACAAGGTGGTGTGGCTGGCTAGCTGCATCGGTGCCTTCTTGCTGGGGCTGGATCTGGGACTGGCTGTCGGCCTCGGTGTGGAGCTGATCAGTGTCATCCTCAGGACTCAGTTGTGAGTATTTGGTGTACAATGTGATCATGTAACTGATTACTGTTGTTCTTTCATCACGCTATTGTCACGAGGTTCAAAGTGATGGCTTTTATTCTGTCAGCTGTTAGATAAATGACCCCGACAGCGAGTACAAACACGTGACGCTGATTCTTGTAAATGATACAGTGGTTTACATCAAACCTGTCATCGTTGTATCATCATCATCATGAGCGTGTTAGCATGTCATGTTTGCTTGTTTGCTTCAGTCCTCGCTGCAGTCTGCTGGCCAACATCAGGGGCACCGATATCTACAAAGACCGAAAGGACTACATCAGCGTGAGTTAGCGTGTGGCCCCTCAGGTGGCTTCAGTTTACCTTTCAAATATTTACACAGCTGTCGGGATATTATCTCAGGCATTTGGATTAGTTCTACAGGCCACAACAAAATGTACGGTTTTGTAATTATACAAATTAAAATAATGATCAAACTAGAGGTGAAAACCTGTGACCAGGTCTTTTAAGTAGGCTATTAAAGAATAAAATACAGAGGGTCATGATTTTATGATGAACACAGTGAGTCCTTCCTTACTCTGAATGAATGTTTATGTAAAGGAAAAATGCACATCTGTAATGTGCAAAGGCTTTTATTAGAGGCTATGATGCACGTAGAGCAATCAGCTCACTTACAAAATGTACATACTCAGCAAGTTTCATGTGATTTCAAGATCTATAAGAGTCAGAGAAAGCAGTGGCGATTAAAGGTGCTGAGAGAGACTTTACCCTCATTTACACTGTATCTGTGAATGAGTGTTGTTTTTAAATATAACGTAAAGGATACGTAATAACTAAGCACTCGACTGTCTTAAAAATGACCAATACAAAAGCAGCGGTATTACTAATTACAACTAAAAAACATCAAACTTTTCACAGGAAGTGCTTATGCCTTATTATCTCATAGCCAGCCTGCTAGGAGACATTGCAGTTACATTCCCTCAGAGTGTGTCACGGCCAGGCAGGCCGGCGTGTTTGCGGTGTGGAGCCAAAAGCAGGCACGGGAGAGAGAACGAGCTGTAACAAAAGGCGAGGCTTTTATTGAGGCTGATAGCCAAAACAGAAAACAAGGCAAAGCAAAACTAAACTCAATGAAACACCTGACCTGACGAGATAAACAGACGACTCGACAATGAACACAGAGAGACAGAGGACTTAAATACACAGAAGGGTAATGAGGGAAGTAGAAACACCTGGAAACACAGCTGAACGCCACAGGAAGACTAAACTAAACACACTGAACATGGAACACAAGACTAAATAAAACAGGAACAAGGAAAGGACGTACACCTGACAACACGGAGCACCAGGAGAACCTACATAGACAGTAATGACCCATAAAGGAAACACAAACCTGACTAAAAACTCAACCAAGAGAAACTAATAATCATACTAGAACTTAACACATCTCACAAGTAATACAAAATAAGTCAACTACACCCTTAACTTTAAAATGACACATGAGTTTAACATGAGTTTCACATAGGAAAGCAACCTCAACAAATAAACTCAAAGATGCTGGGACCCACCTGACCGAGTGCAGAGCGCCCCGATCGAAAAATCCATGGAGTCCCCCTTCATCTGCTCTTGCTCTTGAGTATTTCCAAGTTTGGATATTTATGTCCTCCAATAATGCAGAAGCAAGGTCTTTTTGTGGATGCTTTGATACTAAATGTACCTGACAGTTTACCAGCTGATTTTCAAATTGAGATTTGAACAACTAGTCATTGATTTTGATTTTGCAGTACTTTAAAACTCTTTGCAGATATACGAGCCAGAAGGAGTCAAGATCTTCAGGATCCCATCTCCAATCTTCTTTGCCAACATTGAGTTCTTCAGGAACAAGCTGGTGGAAGCTGTAAGTCACATCTGCCTTTAATGGAGCTGTTAAAGAATAAAAGCATCAGTTTGGATAATTTCGTTTTTCAAAAGCATCATATTCTTCACAGGACAATAAAATAGATGGAGTACAGTCTCATCTCTGATACCATCTCCTATGATTACTTGTGATAAATGACACACTTACTGTATGTCTTCCCAGGTCGGCTTTAACCCATTACGGGTGTTGAGAAAGAGAAATAAAGCAGTGAGGATGATACGGAAACTTCTGAAGAAGGGCAAGTTGCAGTGGACATCTGTGAGTATCTGAGCTTGGTTTGATAGTAACGGCACAAATGTTGCCTGTGTCGACACATTAACAAGGGAACGAAGCCTCATTTACTCATTTTGAATATTAACATTTGCTTCTTGCTCATCTCTTTCAACTCAATTTAGGTAAACACTGTAAATCTGCATGTTTAGAAATGTACAGAAAACAGCAGTGATGTATTAGGAGAGACGGCATCTCACCCACTTTGGATGGAGCAGCTCTCATTTCTAGAAATATGGACAAATTTATTAAACCCCCCAAAATATGAGTATCCAGAGTTGGGACCAGGAAGCAGAGTTGCAGTCTTACACGCCTCTCTGCAGCTTCTCTCCTCCTGCTACCCCCCAAAAACCCATCTCCACAGAGACTGTGTCAGCTTCCAAACAGACAAAAAACAAACTAAAAACCAGCAAAAAAACGACTTAGAGCAGGAACACGCCTTCTGCACAAAGACGTAAACACAAAGTGTGGAGCCAACGCATCCGAATCAGCGAGCTCACCCGACGGCACGGACACGGTCGGGGCTGAAAGCCGACAGCTCGCTGATTCTGAAGTGTCAGTGGGCGCTTTGTGTTTACGTCCTTTTTGCGCTGATTCTGAAGCTGCAGGTTTTATCTCTTTCCAAACAATATTGACCGAACCAGCAGCCAAAGACGATCCAAACTAGCTTCACATTTCGCTTCACATGAACATCGTCACGAATTTCCTCTGACTTTTGCTGTTTTGCTTCCACCACGATAAAAATCACACTTCATGTAGAGCTCTCTCTCTCTCTAAATCAATAATCAAAACCCACCCCTGCTTATTACCCAGCAGTCTACGGTGTCGGCCGCTGTTTTTGTTTTTAGGTTTTTTTTTTACTTACTTCCGACAGAAAAGCCTCATTTCTGCTGTTCAATACTGAACAAATTTAAACTTTTTAAAATTATGCAAAATTGCAAAATGCTGTGTCTCTAATCAAACCTCAGTAACTTTGCTCTGCTTCACTTCGTTTTTGACTGCACAATATTTTTAAGGTCATCTGCTATAAAAACCCAGACCAGGAAAATCACCGTCACGTTTTTCTGTGTTTTATCTTCAGCTACTTTGACACAAAGGCCTCTGCTGTGATGCTCATACCTTTGATAAAGTCTCACAAGTGTCAGGTTTCTTTAATAGATATAAAAATATAGATATATGTACTGATAAGTGATCAGAATTATAATATTTCTGACTGTCTGAGGCAAAAATTTCCCCGATTCAAATCTAATCGTAATCGAATCGATTCTAGAAATCAGTGACGATACCCAGCCCTACAATACAGCATCCACATCTGAACCAAAGAGTAAAACAGTGAAATGTGGATTATTAAATATTAGGTCTCTCTCCTCCAAGTCTCTGTTAGTACATGACTTAATAATTGATCAACAAATCGATTTACTCTGCCTTACAGAAACCTGGTTGCAGCAGGATGATTATGTTAGTTTAAATGAATCAACACCCCCGAGTCATTCTAACTACCAGAAACCTTGAAGCACAGGCCGAGGGGGCGGTGTGGCAGCAATTTTTCACACCAGCCTGTTAATCAACCAAAGACCAAGACAGACTTTTAATTCATTTGAAAGCCTGATGCTGAGCCTCGTCCACCCCAGCTGTGAAACTCAGAAACCAGTCTGACTTGTTATCATCTACCTGACTCCGTGGTATAATTCTCAAACACGTAGCCTAAAGCAGATGACTCGTAATCTGGAGAGGAAATGGCGTGTCACAAATCTAGAGGATCATCATTTAGCCTGGAGAAATAGTTTGCTGCTTTATAAGAAAGCCCTCCGCAAAGCCAGAACATCTTACTATGAATGAATGAATGAACTGAAATTTATTTCAGTCAACAACAACAACAACAGATTATAATTTTACATAAAAGTACTCAAACAGAAACCGAAAAAGGAATAGGCTGAAGCCTTGTGGCTTATACTTATCCTATCCCTTACCCCCAGAAGTAATCAAATCCTTAACCAAGAAAATAAATAGCATTGATAAATAAGTTGTATAACAGTTTGAAAAGAAATCAATGATAAATCAAGAAATTAAATCAACACAAAAAAATTTTAACAAACCAAATTTCTATAACCTTGTATAGGCCTAATTTTTAAAATCTTCCTGAAGAATGACAAAGAAAAACACATCTTCAGTTCATCATTAAGTCCATTCCATAATTTCACTCCCAAAACTGACACACATCTATACTTAACATTGGTTCTCACTTTAGGCATTTCAAACTTATAAGACCCCCTCAAATCATATTTTCCATCTCTTAGTTGAAACATACTTAAAATACAAATTGGAACATTCTTCGGAACTCCACAAGTTACTTTTCTAAGTTTAGATTTCATGTTATTAATACTCACATATTGGAACCTATTATTCAAGTAACTATTTAACCACAATTGTACAACACCTCTTAAACCATACCTTTCACACTTCTGTAAAAGTAAAGAATGATCTATTGTATCGAAGGCTTTACGTAAATCAATGAACACACCTATTCCAAACTGTTTTTCATCCACAGCCGTTGCAATATTTTCAATAAATTCCATCACAGCTAGAGATGTTGAGCGATTTCTTCTGAACCCATACTGATGATCATTCAATAAATCATATTTATCAATAAAAGAATCTAGTTTGTTTGCAAATAGTTTTTCAAGAATCTTTGAAAACTGAGGCAGTAAAGATACCGGTCTATTCATCACTGATTGAAGAAAATAAGAACAACCCCAGGTTTCTCTTCAGCACTGTAGCCAGGCTGACAAAAAGTCAGAGCTCTGTTGAGCCAACCATCCCTTTAACGTTAACTAGTAATGACTTCATGAACTTCTTCACAAATAAAATTTTTATCATTAGAGAAAAAATTACCAGTAATCATCCCACAGATGTAATATTATCTACAGCTACTCTTAGTATCATTGATGTTAAGTTAGACTCTTTTTCTCCAATTGATCTTTCTGAGTTAACTTCAATAATTACTTCCTCCAAACCATCAACGTGTCTTTTAGACCCCATTCCTACAAAACTGCTCAAAGAAGTCCTGCCATTAATTAATTCTTCGATCTTAAATATGATCAACCTATCTCTAATGATCGGCTATGTACCACAGGCCTTCAAGCTGGCTGTAGTTAAACCTTTACTCAAAAAGCATCTCTAGACCCAGCAGTCTTAGCTAATTATAGGCCAATCTCCAACCTTCCTTTCATATCAAACATCCTTGAAAGAGTAGTTGTCAAACAGCTAACAGATCATCTGCAGAGGTTTATTTGAAGAGTTTCAGTCAGGTTTCAGAGCTCAGCACAGAAACAGCTTTAGTGAAGGTTACAAATGATCTTCTTATGGCCTCTGACAGTGGACTCATCTCTGTGCTTGTCCTGCTAGACCTCAGTGCAGCGTTCGATACTGTCGACCATAATATCCTATTAGAGCGATTAGAACATGCTGTAGGTATTACAGGTACTGCGCTGCAGTGGTTTGTATCATATCTATCTAATAGACTCCAGTTTGTGCATGTAAATGGAGAGTCCTCTTCACACACTGAGGTATTAAAGGACTGTTGTATTGGCAGTGGTATGATATAAAATTGGTGGAGAAAAATGACAGTGTCATTTGTACAACAAACAGTACAAGGTCCAGCATCACTTATCTGAGACATGAGCGATTGCATGAATATGATACGAGGTAGAGCCTGGTGATAAAACAATAAAAATTAATATTGTGCAAAAACGTTCCTCGACTGTGATATAAAATATGTTCAATATAAAGTCAGTAAGCTCATTGCATCCATGTTTCGACAGACAACATGAAAGGCAACAACAATTATACTGAACCAATCGTGTGGTTGGAAGGAGCATAGGAGGAGGAGCTGACAGCAGCACATGCTCTTGCTACACAAGAGCATGTGCGAACGAAAGATAAAACGACGACAAAAATTGTTAAGGAAAACTCGACAAACAGCATTAACAAACGAAACAGCCCAGTGGACACAGCGTGTTTAATATTTATACGGCTTTGTAATGTGTGAGTTTGTCTCTGGTTTGAAGCGCGTCTACAACTTCGCTCGATCAGTCACAACATGAGAGTCTTGTGCGAGAGCAGAAAGGCTCATTATGGATTCATCATCTGGAATGTGTTCCCGTGTGGTGAAGTCTGACATAGAAAACATATTTCGCTGTTACAGATCGGCCTCCTGAATACCTCGTGTGGACCCATAAATGAATCAGAGGACGAGAGCAACATGGAAGAGCTGGACCAACCGACTAACTTCAAAGACTTTCCTGCCCGGATCGACTGGAACGCCGAGCTTCCGGCCAACATTGCGGTTCCCAGAGTTGAGATTCACAGCCTGGTCCTGGACTTTGCCGCCGTCTCCTTCTTAGACATCTCTGGACTGAAGGGACTCAGAGCAGTGCGTTTGTATTCATGCAGCAGCAGCAGATGTTTCGCTCTGGCTCTGTTTAATTCATTTCTCTTTGCAGCTGCTGAAAGAGCTGATCCGAGTTGAGGTTGAGGTCTACATTGTGGCCTGTGACCGTAAGTACTAACTGTCTGTATTAGTTTAGTAATCATGTTAGCCTACCATGCTAACCTAAACACCTGCCACATACTCAGCTGTATGTTTGTCTACCATATTTGGACCTTCTGCTGCAGCTTACATCCTGGAGAAACTCCATGATTGTAGCTTCTTTGATGATGAAGTTCAGTCTTCAATGTTCTACCTGACACTGCATGACGCCATGCTGCACATCCTGGAGAAACATCCGGAGCCCATTCCAAAAAAGTCTGATTATGAGAAGGTAAAGAAGAGCAACAAACACAATATTCAGGGAGTATTTGACATCTTACTGTTGGAAATATGTACACAATACTATTACACACATGTAGGGTTTTTACAGCATAAAGCACCTTGAGGCGACTGTGCTGTGACCATAAATACATTTTAAAAAAGAAACTAAATTGAATCTGACGTTCTTTATGTTGTTTTACAGATAATGACAGGAGTCACTATTCATCATCTGCCCGGCAATTTGAGGAGCAGAGACAGAAATGTAGGTATCAGTCTCAAACTGTGCTTTTCAGTGTTTGTGGTTTTTGAGAAATAACTTTCATCTATTTTACTGGTTACAATACAGAAGCCAAAAGCAGAAAAATAAAATCGGAGGATTTATTTCCAACTTCTGAAACGAAAAAACCCCCCACAGAATTTTATTATTTCTTTAAACTTGATCGTTTAAAAAAATATATATAAAAACTCATTTCAGCAGCCTGATGACCAAGACAAGTCTTTGATTTAATAACTGATAAGCTTTCTAACACATGCAGTCCCATGAAAAAGAAAGTTTCCACAGGACTATACAACTACTGTGAAAAACTAAGTACGCCCCAAAACTAATACACAGCCCGAAATAATAGGGGTCCTCAATTTGATGCTGCAAGATAAAGAAGAAAAATCATGGAGGACAACGGTCATGTGATCTGTCAGTGGAAACACATGGGGAAACAGCTGACACCAATGAACATAATGACGTCACAGTGGAAGAGAAAAACTAAACACAATGAACACAGGAACACAAGACCTCTCCAAAATAAAACAGGAAACATAATGAGACACAGAGATGACAACATGAACTTGACAACACAAGACACACAGACACGAAACACATGACGGGCAAGGGAGACGTAACAGAGGGGTGAAGACACAAAGGGAATCTAATAACAAAGAACTAGAATGACAATCTAATGATAGAAATAAACTTCGAAAAATTAAAGGACTTAAGCATAAAGATAAACTCAAAACACTGGGTCACAATGGCCCAGGACTGTGACAGGAAGTCGCTTTGATGACAGATGAGATTGACTGAACGTGACTGAACGTCAGCTCCTTCTTCTCCCACAGGCTTCACCCACACAAACAAAGTTATAACTTCAGAGTGACGACGATGAGGACGACCAAAGACGAGGAAGATGAACCCTGTGTGTGTGTGTGTGTGTGTGTGTGTGTGTGTGTGTGTGTGTGTGTGTGTGTGTGTGTGTGTGTGGCTTTTAATGCAATGCATGAAACTGCATTGATTCTATTGCTTTTTTATCGTATACATCATATAGATTTGTAGACAATTACTGTATAATTTATTTGACATGTTTATTTTCATTTTCATGATGGTGAGGATGAATGTCTTTGCAATGGTAATATTACTTTCAAGAGTTAAAACTGACTGAAATGCTGGAATAAATTTTTTACTCTCTAAATAATGCTGTTTGTTGCCTTTTTTAATCCATTAACTTTGTTACATGTTAACATCAAAAGATAACATGCATTAAAAGTGCAGTGGGCATGGTTATAGGTATCTTAACTGTTACTGTTAGCTTTACTGTTATCCAGAAATGATTAAAGCCACAGTATTGCTCTGGACAACATGCTACTTTTGTTACCATGACTACTGCATACTTTGCCTCAATAAACAAACTCTATAATTTAGCTGTAAATTCTTCATATTGTAACAAAACACATCACAGAAAATTCAATTATTTATATATATTGTCTCCAATTATTTCTATACTTTATCCTCTAAGGACGAGAGAGATGGACTATCAAAGGTTCATGTTGGTCCTTTTAGCTGTTTCACGTTGTTGATGTTAAATTGAGTTCTAAAATAGGAAATGTAAGAAATATTTCTCTCATTCATCGTTTCTAGAGTAACTGTGAAAAGTGAATTTCAGCACATGCAGCAAAGGTTTGTACGGGTGTGTCGCTGAATGAGCAAACATGTGAGAAATCCTCGTGCCTGTCATCCTGCAATAACTGCAGGTGAATAAAAATCTGTTTGTGTTAATGATTGATTTGAACAAAGATAAAACCAACAGAGTGATGAGACTGATCTCAGATTAGATACAGCAGACAAAGGTTGTTTGAAGAATCTGTTTTGTTTTTCATTTTGTGACTTTGAGTCTCACATCAAAGGTTCTTTTACATTATTTATTTTACAGTATTATGTAATGAAATCATAGCCGCCGTTTTCAATCTGAGTATAATTTATGTATGCTCAAAATATTTTAATTATTCAGTTGTTTGACATTTCGAATGCATTTGTCCCAAATTAAAGATTCTGATGGCAAAAAAGATCAATAAAAATTTTAGTTTTATATATCAAGTATTTGATATATAAAACTAAAATTTCATGGCAGTTATAAATGTTGAAATTTTGCACCATAAAACTTTTATGCAAACTATTGACAGTCAAGCAGTAAATGTTGTACGAACTGGCTGATTTGAGATGGAATAGCCCATGAGAAAAATGTTCAACAAATCAAACAAAAAACAATTTAAATACCTTCCCACATTGAGACAAATCAGCACAGCTAATATCAGATGACATTAAAGTCGTGTAGTATAAGAGTGTTAAGCTGAGTTGACAGGGGAGCACCTGGGAGTCTCTGCGACACAGACGCACTGAGGTATTGTAAAAAGGTATGAATCTTGTTTTTACTCAACATAATGGAAAGTGTTGTCAATCATAAAAAATGATAATGATAATAATGATGACTCATAAAAGATAATACAGACCAACTCGCTGACCTTCACCTCGCCGGTCTTTTCACAGTTTAACCAGAAAACCCTGGAATGGCTTCTTGCCACATCAAATAAAATCTCTAATTGTCCTGTTGTAATCTGACACTAGATAAGACTTTTTAAAGTTATTGATCATACATAAGAGTCATAACAACAAGCAACAAGAAAATGTGCGTCAGCATAATAGAACTTACTTTGATAAAGGATGACATAAGCATCTACTAAACAATGTATGGACAATGAGACAGATGTAGGAAAAACCTACAGAAATCCTGTGAACTGTTGTGTTGTGATACACATGCCTCTCAGCTATAGTCTAACCTCTGAGCAGATGCTAGCATGCTAATAGGCTAACATGGCAGTCTTAAAGTTTGGCTCACATTAGCAAGTTCTGGCTAGCTTACACACAGCATTCATATCTAAATTAAACTTAGCACTTCACTAGTGCAGTGTGTTTTTCATCATCTCATTCTGAAACCTGCGTCCTTATTTAGGACGTGCCTTCGCTCAGCTGGCAGAGCTTCCTCCAACCTATGAAGCGCCTTGAGGCGATTTTTGTTGTGATTTGGCGCTATATAAACAAAATTGAATTGAATTGAATGACCTCTACACAGCTTTTTCCCCCCATGCTAACGTACCGCTTTCTGGGTGCATGAAGACATATCAGTGTAGGTATGTGGATCTTATCATTTTCACAAGCAGAGATAAGATTGAATGTTATATAGCTTAACAGTTTCTTTCCACCCACTCTCTGCAGGTTTCTTCCTGTCTTGAGCCTGATGCTGTGGCGATAGGCCTGATCACAGATCCTGAGGGTCTTAGTGATGACCACAAAAGAGTCCCAGTGGCCTCCTCTGTGACATTCCTCATGGGGACTTTTTAATAGATTATGAGCTATGTAAGTAATTTTGCAGGTTTATGGAGGTGTCTTGATAGCAAGTTATTTAACTTTAGGTCTATCGGTTTGCATAGAGGTCTGCCCGCCCCTCATTGAGCCTGGTTCTGCTGGAGGTTTCTTCCTGTTTAAAGGGAGTTTTTCCTTCCTGCTGTCGGCAAGACACTTGTTCATGGGGTGGGGGTCATAAGATTATTGGGCTTTCTCTGTTTCCTTTGTATTATTGTACGGCAATTGTGATTTGCAAGCAAGCAGGCAATTTATTTATATAGCACTTTCAGAACAACTCTCAGCTGAACACAAAGTGCTGGACACTGGACACGCCAGAAATGATACATTAAATAAGTTAAAATAAATAAATAAATAAATAAAGATAAAGATAAAAATAAATAAGATGCTAATTAAAATGACATTTAAAATAATAAATTAGCACAAATAGCAAAAAATAAAATAGTATAAAATGATAATTAGAATTACATTTAAAACAATAAAATCAGCACATGACATTAAAACAATAAAATGAGGGTCATACTGTGTCAGCTGAGATGGTCTGGACAGGTTCAGAGGGGGAAAGGGGATGTACTGGGAAAAGAGTGTTGAACGTGGAGCTGCCAGGAAGGAGGAAACCGTGCTTAACAAGTTTATTAGAGTACCACCTAATGCAGTGTCTTTACTTCTGCTCCTCTAGTGTTGGACAGACTGGTGGTGGCTACGCTGACTTGCTACGCCATCTTGTGGTACAACATTGTGGCCCAGCCCTCATTTAACTAACTTCATCTCGTCATCACACTTTTCTACAGTTTATTTTAAAGATTTAGTTAAGAGTCGGATTAATAATGCAAACTGTAATTTATTAAATAACATTCAAAAGTTACCCAACAGCACACAGAACATAGTTCAGTAAAGTTCAGTATTCTTGGAAAAGTGGTTGCAGGAGGTGAGCTGGCTTCAAACAAATGACGAACGCACTGAGATGTGGTGCAGAATGTGCCGTTTGCCATTTGTTTGAAGCCAGCTCACCTCCTGCAACCACGTTTCTGAGAATACGCGCTTCTTTTGTGGTTCGGACTCCTGACATTTCTTTGGAGGTGGAGGAACACCAAAGTAAAGGAGCTTCTTCGACATCTTTAAGAGTTCTGAACAAACGTCTGTCCTCCTCCAGAAAATCTTATGTACACAAACACGCGTTGCAACTTCTTATCTGGTGCGTCTTTTATTTTGACAGCGAATGCACACCTGCGGACCACTTATGTGCAGCCCTGGCTCTCACACATAAAGCAGTATAAAGCAGCTGTTGTCTTTCTACACGTCTCCATCTACACATCTCTGTGATTCGGAAAACTCTCATCTTATATCCTGATGGGCAGGGCAGCATTTTCATTCCACTTTTCAGGCTAAGGCCAGAGGTGTTTCTATTCTAATTGACCAAAATGTTCCCTTTGAGAAACATAATGTAATTTCTGATACAAGTGGCCGGTATGTTTTTGTTTCGGGTCAACTTTATAATTTAAAAGTAGTGTTGGCCAACATATATGCCCCAATATTGATAGTGTAGATTTCTTTCAGCGTGCTTTCTCATTGCTGCCTGATCTGAGCTCATACTCTCTCATACTTGTTGGTGACCTCAACTGCTGGCTGGACCCTGTGTTCGACCGATCCTCCCTGAATCCCTGCACTGTCAGTAAATCTGCTCGTTTCATTCGATCCTTTTTATCTAACTGTGGTGTCTCTGATGTTTGGCGCTGTTTACGCCCCCACAGAAGAGAGCACTCTTTTTTTCCACAGGTACACCACACTTATTCTAGGATTGATTATTTTCTCGTTGATAATCAGCTGACTCCATGGGTCCAATCCTGTGAATATCAGACCATAGTAATATCAGACCAAAGCCCTGTTGTGCTATCAATGAGTTTCCCAGACGTCCCTCAATCCAGACGACACGGGTGTTTTAATTCGACTCTCCTGGCAGATGTAAACTTCCTGGAATTCATGAAAGAACAAATAACCTTGTTTCTTAAAACAAATACCACAGGAGAAACTTCTAGCTTAATAATTTGGGTTTATACTGAAATTCTATACACTGTATTTATATGTTCTATTTCTATTGTATATTAATCGGCATCTGTGGGTGGACAGCAAAGAAAAGATTTCATTGCACAGAGAAATGCCTTTTCCCTTGTGACACATGACAATAAACACTTCTTGAATCTTGAAAGCCTTTCTCAGGGGGCAAGTTATTTCCTACACTGCTAATATGAACAAAAAGGCCCGTATAGAAAGACTCGATTTAGTCAACCGAATCAAAGAAGTAGACCTGCTCTATGCTAAGGTAAAAAGCCCAGATTTATACAATAAGCGCCTGGAGCTTCAGACTAAATTCAATCTCCTCTCAACGCACTCAACTGAACGTCAGCTCCTGAAGAGTAAGAGTTTGTTTTATATTCATAGCGACAAAGCGGGCAGGATGCTTGCCAGCCAGTTAAGGGGCTTCCAGGCAAAACAACACATCACAAAGGTTAGAATGGCTAATGGTAATATCACTTCGGATCCGTCCAAAATTAATGATACGTTTAGGACTTTTTTACTCTCAACTTTACACCTCTGAATCACCGCAGGAAAGCACCTTAATGGATAACTTTTTAAAGCCTTTGAATGTACCTATGCTTTCCTCTGATAGTAAAAACAGATTAGACAAACCCATCACGCCAGAGGAGCTGGGTGCAGCCATTTCTTCACTGCAGCCTGGAAAATCCCCT